ATCAATTTCGCTTGTGCAAATTACATTTTCGCATTCCGTTTCGCACCTAATCTTTTCAATAAGCCTGCTCTTATATTCTAACTCTTATCAATTAAATTAAATTGTAAAAACATGTCCCCCTGGGGTACCGCTCTAGAAAATAATAGGTTCGCCCTATTATCCTCTAGTCCTTAACCAAAAAGAAAGAAAAAAGCGAACCCATTATCGAATGAAGAATAATTCCCTACTCTACCAACAGCAATAATCAACAACAGCAATAACAGTCCCAAATATACAGTGGTAAGTTCAACTGATGCAAATAAGCCGTTGAATAAATTTTTATGCTTCGCCGTTCCCAAATCCCTGAAACACAATAGCTCTGAAATAATAAAAATCAGTCAACTAAGGGATAGTAATTTGCTACTTCTAGTTAAAAATAGCACTATCGCAAAAAAATTGACGACAACAAAGAAACTCGTGGGAATATGCAGTGTAAAAATTGAGCTCCACAAAAATTTAAACTCATGCAAAGGTACTATTTATGCTCCGTGCCTAAACGATATTCCCGACAATGAAATAATTGAAAACTTGAAAGGCCAAGGTGTCATATCGATTTATAAATTTCCAAAATACATAAATGGCCAACCAACTCCAAGTGGTGTAGTCCTYCTAACTTTCGATCGCTACTCCTTACCGGAAAAAATTTATGTTTCATGGTATACAACAAAGGTTGAGTATGCAGAAACTGCGAATTACTTGGTCATACAAAAAAAACGCTGCAACAAGGTCCCTTCTTGCGATACATGTGCATTACCGACCCACAATCCCTCACCCTGTACTCGCACTCTCTGTGCAAACTGGTCTGCTGATCACCCTGCCTCTTTTCGCGAAGCAGTAACTATCCATAAAGCACAAATACCACCTGTTTTCAATTCTTCATCTCCCTCATTCGCTAACGTTATTAACAACCCAACAAATATAACTCCCACAAACTATCAACAAAACACTCAAACAAAAGAGCAAATCTCGCTCTCCTCTCTTACTCCACCTACAACTTCCAACTCTAAAACATGCAGCACAAACAACGAAGAAAATGTATCAACCACTATAAATCAAATAAATTCAACTCATTCGCTTGCAACAACAAGTGCAGTCGAAGACTCAACTGTAACACCTTTTAACTACAACGCAACAATTTCACCCATTTCAAACTTGATCACCCACCTCAGTAAGAGTCCCGCCGCCCCATTACCCACACAACCCTCATCACAAAATTGATTATGAGAATTCTTCAGTGGAATTTGAAAGGTCTATTTAACAATTATCCAGATTTAAATATACTCATAAATGAATTTTCACCACACGTAATTGCATTACAGGAAACTCACCTGCCAGCAAACAAAACGGCATATACTCCTCACAAATACATTGGTTATTTCCATAACCTACCACAAAACAAATCAGCTAAACAAGGCATTGCCCTGTTTATCAAAAAACATATCAAACATAAACGTATCCCAGTCTTATTTAACATTTCCGCCATTGCTATAGAAATTAACATCGGTTTCAAATTTTCCATAGTCACATGCTACATCCCTCCGAATCAGAAGTTTAATGCAGGAGAACTTATAGGTGTCATTARCGCTGTTCCTGCACCCACAATAATCATTGGAGATTTTAATGCTTGGAGCCCCTTATGTGGATCTATCTTCTCAAATGGAAGAGGTCAAATAGTGGAAGATGTCATTCTCTCAGAAAACTTATTTGTTCTTAACAATAGATCACCAACTCACTTTTCCTCCCACAAAACTTTCACTCACATAGACATTGCTCTTTGTTCAGCTTCCATAGCCCATAAACTCTGTTATTATACTCTAGAAGACCTTCACAATAGCGACCWCTTTCCTATCATAACTACCCTCATCACCCCGATGCAATACATCGTTAAGCCAAGATCAAACTTTCTTACAGAAAAAGCTGATTAGTTAAAATAGTACTCAATACATCAGCAATTGCTGAAATAGTACCAGAGAACTTAAGCGCAGAAGCATCAAAAATAAAAAGGATTATTCGATCCGCTGCATATATCTCAATTCCCCCAACTAGCACAAAAAAATTTACCGCCAAACTACCGTATTGGTCCAATCTATTAACAATCTTGAGAAATACAAAACAAACCCTTTGGTCTTAATTCAAACAGACCGTAACAACTGGAAACTTAATTAGATACAAAAAAGCAAACTCTAACTGGAATAGAAAAAAGCTACAATTATTCCTATCCGTAAATCCAACAAATCGAGTGCTTCAATTTCAGACCCATTTCTTTGACACCCTACATTGCCAAAGTTTTGGAAAAAATTATATCAAAGAGACTCATGTGGTATTTAAAACAAAAAGGACTGATAAGCCCCAACCAGTTTGGTTCTCAAAGTGATCTTGGCGTCACTAACCCACTTCTTTACTTTGAACACCACGCTACAACAACARTATCAACCAAAAATCACTTATCCGTCCTCAGTCTAGATTTTGAGAAAGCATTCGATAGAATTGGAGCTCATATGGTATTACAGGAATTAAAAAAATGGGACATTGGAGATGAAATGTATAATTTCATAACGTCATTCCTTTCAAATCGTAAGRTTACAGTAAGTGTTAGTAACCACAACTCCAACATATACCCCCTACATAATGGCATACCCCAAGGATCTCCCCTTTCTACAACACTATTTATTATTGCCTTTAACCAATTAAGCAACTTAATAACCTCATACCGATGTGT